TGAACAAGCAAAAATTGGACTTTTAAGCTTGAAGGTCAAGGTCATTTATGGATGAAGGTCAAGGTTAGTGTGGTCTACTGAAAGGTCTTGTCCCAAGGGTTGTTGTCGGTAAGTATGAAGACAATACACCAAGAAATAAAAAAGTTATGATCCAGGTACAAGTTTGCGGACGGGCACGGCAACGGCAACGCCGACCTGACTATAACAATACCTCTATTTTTTTTTCTAAAAAAAAGTCGAGCTAAAAATGGCAAAAAAGGCTTCAAACATAATTTTTTTCTGGTTCGAAATACGTCTTTTTGAGATTGTAATTACCAGAAAAAAATTCTTGGGCTTAACTTTGCTTTAATATGTTATTCTATTGGTTTTTTAATCAGAGAACTTGCTGGGACAATATGAATTTGTATTGGTTTGTTTCTCAATTTCGTCACATTTCTGGTGTTAAAAGACACGTGGGATGTTGATCCTGACTTTAGGAAACCGTTTTTTAATGATTGTTCGTGTAGTGAAATTAACTCACAAAATTACATAAACGACGAACAAAAAATAGCAAAACATTCAAACTCTTTTAAAATTATATCTAAAGTAGTACTGAATTTGTTTGATTTTTCATACATAGAAACAATTAAACAATGGTAATAGGAATTGAAAAGAAAACATAACCTAGCAATCTTAATTGTCTGTATTGCTGTCATTTTCACATTATTGTTACCTGCTTAAATATCCAAATGGGTAATTGCCTAAATTCATATCGGGCGGCAATCGGATTATTTAATTGTGTGGCAATAAGTTCAGAACGCAACTCTGTTTCTTATCGTGAGAAATTCGTACTGTTTCATTTTTGTGCAAAATTATTTAGGTTGATATTTCGCTCGTTACAAATATGGCTAATTCTGGTCTGCTCATTCTTTTATAAGAAATTTTATCATTTAAATAACAGTAAAAGAGCCTACTTAAAGACCATCCGCGACACAAATAGTTCGTTATGCGAAACCAATTTCAGTTCAAATTTTATGTTTTTAAAGATAATGTTATGCGGAGATGTAGAAATAAATCCTGGCCCTGATAGTGTGATACAAATTCAAACCTGTATTTCCATATTTCACCAAAATATACGAAGCATTCGCAACAAAATGAATTTCATTTCTGATAATTGGCTAGACTACGATATTTTATGCTTCACAGAAACTCACTTAAGTAATAATGTCACTGACTCTTCAATTTCTCTAGACGGATATAGTAATTTGTATAGAAAAGACGGTAATTCATATTGTGCCGGAATGCTTATCTATGTATCTGATAAATTTATCTCAAAAAGACTTAATGATCTCGAAACTTGTTTTGAAGAGTCTGTTTGGGTTGAATAAGAAAAACGCAAGAAAGAATTTTGATATGTACTACATATCGACCTCCAAACTATAATAATGATTACTGGGATAAAATGAACTTGTGTATAGAAAAGGCTTTTGATTTTTGCCCAAACATAACAATTCTTGGTGATATAAACGAAGACCAACTAAATTCGAGTAATTATAATCTTCGAAATATCTTATTATTAAATGGTATGCGTAATATCATTACTGATCTTACACGTGTTACTGCTCGAACATCAACCCTATTAGATCCAATAGTAATTTCAAATAATTTAACTGTTTTAACGTCAGGAATTCATTGCACTCCAAAAGAAATAAGTGACCATTTTGGAACGTATGTATTTATTAAATCTTCCCATTTACCCTCTATACCTTATAAGAGACGTATATGGAACTACAAACGAGCGGATTTTGTAAAGTTTAATGAATTAATTGACACAACTGATTGGTCTTTTCTAACTTTAAATACTATTGACGAAGCCTGTGACTTGTTTACAAAAAGGTTCAATAATTTAGCTCAACAATGTATACCTACAAATATCATCACAATAAGGCCTAAGGATAAACCATGGTATGATTCAGTAATAAGAAATATGAGTCGTAAACGGGATAGACAGAAATGTAAAGCAATTAGATCAAATAAAGAATCTGACTGGTTAATATACAAACGGTATAGAAATAAAGTGAGCAATATGATTAAACATGCAAAGGAGAAGTTTTATAATAACTTAGAACTTTCTATATCTGAGCTTAATTGTAATAATCCCAGGCAATATTGGAAAACCGTAAAAATGTTAATTAAAGAAAACAAAGGTTGTGAGAGTATTCCCCCACTATACATGGAAAATTCGCCTGGCAAAACTTACTTCTTCACCGATCTAGAAAAAGCAAATTGTCTTAACGATTATTTTGTTTCAGTCTCAACTGTAGACGACACCCATTCGTCCCTACTAGATTTTGTTTCTAAAAGTAATGTTAAATTTTCTAGTTTACAAATAAGCGATCAGGAAATAAGTGATATCTTAATAACGTTAATTACAAATAAAGCAAGTGGACCAGATGAAATTAGTCATAAAATGCTAAAAGAAACAAGATATTCTGTCTGTGCTCCACTAGGTATTTTATTTAACAGATCTCTAGTCGAAAATATTTACCCTAATTCATGGAAATCAGCAGTTGTAATGCCAATATATAAAAAGGGCAGTAAAAACATGCCTATGAATTATAGACCCATTTCTCTAATAAGTTGTGTAGGTAAAGTATTTGAGCGAATTGTTTTTAAGCACATTTATAATCATTTACATGTTAATAATCTTATATATCACCAACAGTCTAGGTTTTTACCGGGTCATTCCACCGTTTTACAACTTATTGATATTTATCATCAAATTACTCAAGCCTTTGACAAAAAACAATCTACATGTATGATATTTTGTGACATTTCGAAAGCATTCGATAGGGTATGGCACAAAGGGCTTATATTTAAATTGCGTCAATACGGTATTGATGGCGATATATTAAATTGGTTGAGCAACTATCTTTTAAATCGGCACCAAAAAGTTTTTGTAAATTCAACTTTCTCAAGTGAGAAAATAACTACTGCGGGCGTTCCCCAGGGATCAGTCCTGGGTCCGTTGCTATTTCTAATCTACGTTAATGATATTGCGGATAATCTATTAAGCATAACCCGCCTCTTTGCAGATGATAGTTCGTTGTCGATTTCCTCTAGCAATATGAATTTTATAGAAAACACATTAAATACCGATCTACATACTCTTCAAGAATGGTCCCATAAGTGGTTAATTAAATTTAATCCAGATAAAACAGAAGTAATGTTTTTTTCCTTAAATGATGAACAACGCCCTTCTCTATTCTTTGAAAATACCCAACTTACTTATGTAAAAACGCATAAACATCTTGGACTTACATTGAGTGAAGATGGAAAATGGCACGAACACATTAATAATATTATGACATCAGCTTCTAAAGTTCTAAGCTCAATGCAATCATTGAAATTTAAACTCAAACGAAATACATTAAATCAAATTTATTTATCATATATGCGACCAATCCTCGAATATGCCTCCACTGTTTGGGATGGCTGTAATGAAAATGATAAACATTCACTTGAAAAGATGCAATATGAAGCAGCGCGTGTTGTCACAGGCCTAACTAGATCGGTATCTATAGACCGTTTACTTAGAGAAATTGGCTGGGTATCTTTGTCGGATAGAAGAATTATGCAAAAATTAATAATAGTTTACAAAGCCCATCAAAACAATGTTCCAAGCTACTTACTAAATCTTTTCCCAAATAGTGTCGCTAATTCTACTCCATACTTCCTCCGAAATGATAACAACTATGTGACAATCGCACGGAGAACACAAATATTCGCAAAATCTTTCATCCATAGAGTTATGGAACAATTTGGATGATCATATTAGACATGCGGCTTCTCTTAATATTTTTAAATCTCGTCTCAAAGAAATTTATAAACCACATACTGTTCCTAAAATATTTTGTATACGGAGATCGAAGTTTATCTGTTTACCATGCACGTATTAGAAACGAATGTAGTAATCTTAATGCGGATCTTTGTAAAAATCATCTACGAGATAACTCACTTTGTAGCTACTGTACATCCAGTATTGAAGATGCCGAACATTACTTTTTTAAATGTCCCAAATATAACGAAATAAGAGTGCAGTTATTCCGCTCAACTCGCAGTTTCCATCCTTTGAGCGTAAAGACCCTTTTGTTTGGAAAAGAATCTCTTTCTGATGAGAATAACTTATTTATTTTTGATAAGGTACAATTATTTATTAAATTATCGTGTAGATTTGAATCTTAATTTTTTATATTATCTGTACTACTTGCCACGATCAATTGATATCCCTACTTACTGAACTCTATCCCCTTTTTTTTTTTTTTTTTTTTTTTTTTTTTTTTTTTTCTTTTCCTTTTATGTAATGCTTTTCTTCTTCTTTCTCCTTGTGCATTTTTCCCTAATTGCTCTACTATCATACATTTTGGTTTGTAACTGTCTTATTATTATTAGATAATTCAATATATCAGGGAAGAACCGTTTGCTGATGTTGTAAGAACTCGTGGTTCAACCCTTTTGCTACTTTTGTATTTATACTATGATAATATAATGTTATAAATGTGTAAAAAAAAGAGCAATAAAATATGTTTAAATCAAAAAATCTTAATTGTCATTCGTAAGAGTTATCACTATAAATATATATAAATACGGATAATAGCTACATGCAACTTAACATTAAATATTGACAATAAAGAGCATGTTCCGCTTGCAATCTTTCTAAATATTTTGTATAGTAATAATGTGCATACAGTTAAATATACTTTCTTTGCCACGGACTTGTCACAGGAAACTGTCAAACATTATCAAGTACGTGCATCAAAATCAAAATTAGCCACTACTTAACTTACTTGTCTCTGTATGAAGAAATGACAGATCAATTATTAGTAACATACAAGATATTTTTACACTCCTTTAATGAAAACAAACCGAAAAATATAAACTCTGTTTTCAGTGAATCTAAATCCTTTCACAAAAAAGACTTGAAAGTTATTACAATTTAGATAACAGTGTTATTTAAACAGGTATGTGCGCTTCGAACAATCACTACTGTTGGCCCGGATATTGCAGTAACGAACTGACAAAAGGCTGCTCGTGCGCGCCAAATTTCAAAATTATACGGCAAAGTGGGGAAACTTCCTGCCAGCCAAGTAAGCTACCATCTATTCTGACATGTGGAACGGTTGTGATTGGTCCTAATATGGAAAAGAAGCAGGCTAGAAGCAGCATAAATTCAACAGAGTGTCAATATTTTACTGATATGTATGGTAACTTCCAGCCGTCGTTTTTCAACTTTGATCTTGCTGCGGAATATACCATCGATACCAGTGGCTATTCGAAACCACCTTTTATAAGCGAATCCCATTTTGGTATAACAGACTTTGCTACAAGTGTCGTCAAAATATCTGTTGATGGTAAGAAAACCTTTTCAAATATTTTTACTTTTTAAACAAACTAAAAAGGATATATTTTTAAAAGGTCCAAAATACCAATGTAAACCTAATATTTTATCTATTAAGGCAGTGTAAACAAATCGTTTTATAAATTCTTTAAGTACTTTTCATAAAATGCGGTTTTACATTTAATTGTCTGTTATCAAAGGTTTAAATATTAAATACAGAACTCCCATGTTTTCAATCGTTACAATCTAAGTCATTCAGAAGCATGTTCTGTGCGTTGATCCGTTCTTAAGTTCTACCTAGACGAAGAATAAAATGCAGCCCTGTGCTTAAGGCTAAGCTTAAATATATATCAGCTCACTTACGGTAAAATATGTACAGAAAATTCGCTAAATATCTCTAAATATATATTCATTTATAACGAGTTTTCATTAAGAAATGTATAGTTAATTTGTAACACTTATAAAGATGGTAGGAATATTTATTGTTATTAGGGAAACGTTCCACTGAAAGTTCCATCAATCATTTAGTGGACAGATCATCCAGCGTTTATTGTAAGCCGACACTTTTTGACTCGAAAAATGTATCAGTTTCATCTAAACTTCAAGACGGCCAAGCGTAAATATTCTTCCTATTATTTTAACTATTTTATCTTCACATTTTCTTTTTTATATAAATCATAAAAACAACCACAAAATCAATTTTATAGGCATTCGTGACCGTGTGACTTCAAACCACTTGCTTCTTATTGCCTTGGGTTTAAAAACCCACATTGACATTGGATTATATCATGTTACAAAATTATAAAGCTAGAGGTACCGTAGGTCATTCTGCACAAGTAAAACTGAGAAGTCACAATATGACCTTAACAGTGTGAATGAAAGAGCTTAGAAAATTATCTTAGTATATAGTCGACCGACTAAAAATACACTAAGAAAACCATAATTATTTATTTCTTATTCAAAGACAACACATCTAAATATGATATTGTTTTATTTACATATTGTATATCATACGGGGATATCTAAAGTAATTATAATTTATTTTGAAGCATAATAAAGAAACATACATTCAGATTTCATGAAAACTTCTTAAATGAGAAGATATTCATTAAATCAAAACAGACAGTCAAATTAAATGTTAGTGTAGGTTTTATTTTTTAAGACTCCTGGGTGTTTTCATTGTTTAAATTTACGTGTACTCCTATTGATATGTTAGCAGTTTATTGAACATGTACATTCCATGTCGTAACTGTTTTATAACTTTTTCTGTTTTAGATTATGTCTTCAATTTCGCGTAGATGCAGGGGGATATTTGAAGAGCAAAGATAGGGTCTCACACCGAATTTCGTCTGCAGTACCTTATCGAAAAGTTCATAAAACACGTGAGCTTTGCTACAGGTTTGACAATACTTCTCCAAAACATTGCCGAGAAAAGGCAAACTGCAGTTACGATCCAATTCAGTTTGAAAGCCGTGTGATACGATCTACAGATATCGTTGTTGAATTTAAGGGTTGGTATGATCCGGTTCCAGCTGGCGGCATTTCGAGCCAAGCATCTTCTATTGAAAGTTATCAGATAACAGTAAACGAGGTTACTATGTCAACATACAATATACAGGTCAATTACATGACAAATGTGTACACAAAGAAGGTTAATTTCAAAGAGAAGAAAATATCGTTTAATGTGACTTCTGAAAAGCCTATATTATACTGCGTGACTTTAGAAGTTAAAGACGTGGCTGATAATGTCAGACAAGCAAGACGATTCATCTTGTATGACAATTCGTCTTTTATTGAATCGTGGGATGATAAACCATTTTATTTTTCCTCAGCTTCGATACAAACCAAATATAAATGGCAGACTCATCATCATGACATATGTCTTAATTGGAAAGACCATTTTCTCAACCGATTCTACTTCGACAATCCTTTGCTGAACCCCATTGCATCGGAACCCCATGGATTAGTTACTGGAATTTATGAACAAAACGATGGTGTTCTCCCAGTTTCTGGTACTCCAAACGTGCATGGCATTGTTCAGACCTTGGTATCCTGGACATTAAATGATGGGTCTCCTTCTGCTGAAATCGATGTGCCAAATTTCCTAAACCAATCTTTTTGCAATGACTTCAAAGTGCAAGATGGTCAAACGTACACAATATTTATTCATTTGGTTGACATTGCTAACAACACTTTAATTGAAAACAGAACAGTGCATATTGACCGGTCCGTACCTCATATAAACAATATTTGGCTCGTCAAGGATGGTTACAAAGTCCTGTTTGTTCATCATATGACGGATTTATCAAACATGCAGTTGCACTTTGAAGCCTTAGACCCACACAGCGGTGTAAGACAAATAGAGTGGGCATTTGGTAATAGTATTGCAGAATTAACTTCAGGTTCTCTGATTATAGGATCTTTTAAAGAAGTAAGTATTTTATCAACACGAAGTAATTTAGACAGAAAAGACTTCCTAAATGACATCTTAAATGAAAAACGATGACGACAATATTAATACGCAAACACAATCACACATCTACATAGTATTCCAGCAAACTAAAATGTTTTGATTTTGTGTATGAAACAAGTGTTAACAGATAACCTCAGACGAGACGATTAAATATATCGTGATTAAATACAAAAATTTTAAGCCGTAATTAATGAATCTCATTTCTATATATTAAATACAATTATAATGAGTTCGATTTTTTAAATGAGTATGTTTTTCATTAAGATCAAGTTTAGCCTAAAGAAGGAATTATGTAAGTTTCTTGTCTTTAATTGTTAAAGCTGGAATAGCCAAGTCGATCATTATTTTCTTACTATTACAGACAGCCTGCCCACAGAATGCTGAAAATTATTACTGTCCAGATGTCGGACAGTGTGAGTTTTATAACTACACGGTACCACTTAACAAGCTAATTGCCATCAATAAACACGTGGGCAATCACAACAGAAAATACTATTTCACTTTAAAGGTTACCAACAATGCACAATTGGTTAACATAGAACGCGTAAATATTTTGGTTGATGACTCCCCACCGGAAGTTGGTATTATCTTTGAAGGTAATTCTGTTTTGTAGATAAATCTATTGAAAAGAATATACGGAAATATCATTCATAAGCAATCCACATTGGAGACATAACTCTTTTTATAGATAAAAACAATCAAATCCTTCAGGTCAGGTTTTTGAAAATCCACAATTAGAAATTGGTCCCTAGATACGGATCCCCCTTGCAATTTTTCAATGATATACTAGGAAATAAAAACATATAAAACAAAGAGGATAGTAGACACACACAATTTGACCTTCAACGTCATTGTCCAACAGTGCCCTCGCAGACATTGGTCTTGTGCATGATACACGTTATAAGTTATAGGGCAAATTACTTTACAATTGCCTTCCAACCAAAATTATCTTTCTCTTGAAGAAGATGAAGGCTTAAGTCTTGCATGCGACACAAAGTCTGACAATCCATCAAGTAATGAAAAATATTCGTCTGACAGTATTTGATAATTTACTACCGAGTACAAACAAGACTTTGTAGATACAAACTTGATCTTATACACACGAATTCTCTACTTATTGTGGTTATGTGTACAGATTTCTTTGAAATCCCACCATGCATGGAGTTACAGATAGGCAACTCAAGTTTTACAATGGCAAAACGCTACTTAAGTTCAATCCCTTGCTTTGACTTTGACCTTTTACAATACAGAGTGACAAAGGGTTTATCACCACATAAATAATTATGTATTTTATATTGCTGGACTGAAAATGTCAAAATTATTGAGTGCAATAGTGACAACACATTCTTCTTCAACTGAT